AGGTGGCAATAGCTGTTGGGGAAGGTGGTATGAGGGTTGCGACACTTCAAAGAAGGTGGTAAGGAGGCAGAAGGGTGCAAGTTTGGCGGTTGGAGAGGTTGGATAGGAGGGAAGGGGACTGTAGGGGAAAATAGGAAGATGTAGGTCCAGACTGGTGGCTAAGGGAGGTAAGGGAGAGGGTAGGGAGGAAATCAAAGAGGAGGCAACACCACATTGGAGCAGGATACAACCGAAGCGCCACCTGTCGTTGGATGCAGCCATGTCAAGGGGAAGAATACTCCACACAAAATTTGAAAGTAAGACACAATAATCTTACGCTATACTCAACAAATGTAGACTCCAAGCAGGTGGAAAACTGAAAAAGAAAAAATGAGGAAGTGGACGTAAATCCCGCCTCCGACTCCCAGTGGGGGAAAGGGGGGGGGGGGGGGGGGGGAGGCGCACAAATCTCGCCTCCATGAGGGCTAGTTGGTCTAGCAAATCCCGACCTCTTAAACCCTTCATCGGTGTAACCTTTCTACAAATCAACTATCAAATTACACTATTTTACGAGTATACTTAATTGTGGAGTTCACTAGAGAAATACACAATTACATCACATTTTTCATATTATGACAACTTTTTACTCCATTGTCTAGTATCCTTTCCTCCGCTTTCTAAAAGGTCTTAGTATCATTCATATCTCCTATGAGTTAGAAGTCTACAGAGAGCTACTTCCTGTTTAGGCTTTACCTTGATGATTGCCCCTTGCATAGATGGACTAACCTCTTCAAATTTTGGTATTACTGGCTCAACTTTCACTTAGTTTGTCTTTAAATAACACATCACACTAGAGGACATTCATATTCATTAGCTTTCACTTTATTCATCTTCGAAAAACACATTGTATTTGATACCAATTACAACAACTCAAATCACATAATGCAAGATATTGTTTACTTTAGCCTAATCAAGCCCACACCATGTTGAAAATCATTAGTTTATCCTTTTTTCGTGTAACTTTCTTTGAGGTTATTCATCTCAAGAGCATTTCAGTATGAGCACGCTTAATTGTGAAGCTTTCTTAGAAAATGCACCCATTACGCCAAAAGTTGGCTTGTGTGCTATGGCTAAGTATTTATATATGTACTCTCACCACTTTCAAAATGTGATTAAGGCTATGTTCCATTTATCTTGTAAAAGCCTTTTGTCTCGGTATGCTTGTCAGGAGCAACTTCTTGTTCGTGCCTCGACCTTGATGACCACACTTTACGAGACTGACTGCCTTTTTTGGCTTTAGATATTATAGCCTACCAACTTCTGCTTGATTTGATCTCAAACCATGTATCATACTGACTCAACCCGCACTTATGCGTATTTTTAATCTCCTTAATTATGTCAGAAAATATCTCAATTTATATCTAGCGGCTAGTGTGAACACTTGCAATGATTTATAAATTATATAATAAATTTTCACACTAGGGGTACGCAATTATACGTATCGTTTCAAGTAATATAAGATTTTCTT